TGGCTTTGTTTTCTGTCTGATCTTCAAATCCATTTCACGTGACCAGGGAAGGTATTAAGTACTTTAGGAGATGCATCAGCTACTTGCTTGCTCTGTGCCGTGACCATATGGCATTCATTGCCACACAGATAACCTTCTGTGTTGTAATCAGACGGATGTCACGCGCTTGGCGCAGAAGTGACAACTGTTTACAACATTTCTGAATATAAAGTAGAAATAGTGCGCAAAACATTAAAAAAGGGGGGATTTATCAAAACTGGAGCAGACGGAAACTGGAACAGTTGCCCATGGCAACCAATCAGCTTCTCTCTTCAGTTTGCTCAGGTAAGATTTGAAAATGAGACAAGAGAAGCTGATTGGCTGCCGTGCAAATCTGCTCCAGCTTTGATCATTTCCCCCCAAAGTCTTCTAGATTCGTTGCTTTGCTTCAAACAAACAGTCCCATCACATTTAACTGACAACTGCTGCCACCAATGAAGCCAAAAGTCCAGCAATAAAACACTGCGTTACCATGGCAACCTTCGTTCAGTTGCTCTGCAGAATTACGGTCTACGATTACTGTGAAAGGTGTGAGAACTACAGTGATCTAGTTCTGGATTTAGAGACTCGGACAAAGAAAGGCATCCTGTGCCTGACAAAGAAATGTCCTGACGCCAGGAGGTGAGATATAAAAGTAAAATGTATGGGCTAGGGTCCTGCCAGGGTAATTGAGGCACCATAAGGCCCTATTCACATCTGAGCGATCTGAAGCCCATTGATGCCCAACACTCAGACTGCCATGTTATTATTAAGCATGGATGGAGGAATCCCCTGCTGTTCTCATTGTATTTCCAAAATGGAGCTTGCAGCTGATTGGCTGCCAGTTGTGTTATGGCAGAGAATTTCCCAACCTGCTCCTTTGATCAGCTGATTGCATGATGCCGGGCACAAGGGCGCAAACAGTGGCAACCACTTTGTGAATTTCAGAAATGTCATCAACATGATGAACCAGCTGAAATTTGATACGTGTACAGTATACCCGTCTTTACATTGATCCAATGTGAGTATGCATATGTCATATCTGATTGGCTGCTGGGGATCCTGTAAAGAATGTGGTAGCCGGAGATACTACAGCCCTGACAGCAATGTTTCCGGGTCCTGTATGGTGTGGCTTCCTCTCTGCTGTGAGAACACAAGGGGGGGTCGCTCGATCAGCACAGCGGCCATTCACAGAACCTCTAGTATTTTTATCAAGGCATTTTCTAACTGGACAAGGGGCTGTGACATCATGGTTTGCTCTCCAATCAGAGAACCCCTAGAATTCATTGATAAAAATACTAGCAGGGTTATTCACTAAAGGGTGAAGAGTTTGGAGAAGGCAGGAGAAGTGAACAATCTAGGACAACATCGCTGAGCTGGAAAGTGAGCTGAATTGGAGGATTTTTCTAAATCACCTATGTTGTCCTAGATTGTTCACTTTTCCTGCCTTCTCCAAACTCTGCACCCTTTAGTGAATAACCCTGTAGGTGTTCTCTGAAAGGCCGCTGTGCCGAGTGACCCCCTGTGTGTTCAGAGAAAAAGGGGAAACGACTGTACCGGGAAGGTGAAGATCTTCGTAGCTCTATACCTGGAGTTCATCTTTAAGCTTACCTTCACCGCCGTGTCGAGAGTGAAGGTGAGTTTCTGCGGTAGTTTCTCTTTTCATGTTTTCCAGCCAAACTGGACCACCAATGTAATGTGTAGTTAAAGTGAACTCTTTCCTTTTTCATCTTGAATACAGCATGCAAATGTTAAAAGCGTGGTCAGGTTTTTTAATCGTTATCTGTGCTCCGGCTAACAGTAGAATGGGACACCAACTATTTTTTTTACTGTAATCCTGCTTGAATTGTCTCGATTGGTCAGGCTGAAAAACTTTTTTCAAATCGTAAGAAAATAAATTAAAAAAAATCAATTAAATAAAAAAAATAAAAATACGATAGATTAGTGGTGTTTTTGTACGAAATTAAAAAAAAACGCATCATGAACACGGCACATGCGCAAACAAAAATACTTTCTGTCGATCGACAAAATTGAGTGAGTTAGTATCGCTAACGTACGATTATCGACATTGGTCTGTGCATGATGGGCTATTTGAGCTAGAATCGAACGAGGGTTCTTGGCAGCAACAAACATTTCCAATCGAAAGTCTTTAGGTGTATGGCCAGCCTAAGGGTGGACTTTACTACCCCTCTGAAGAACAATCTGCGGGGGATGGCTTTTCAGAGGAGGTTGAGCGATGGTTTGCAAGCCTTCAGGAGGCGACACTGCCACCTCCTGAATACCTGTGGCGGGTTTTTTGGATCCCAAGGAAGATTTTACATTGAAAAATATCACACTTAAACTGAATGCCAAATGTTTGGTACACAGTCCTATTGAATTTAATGGGCACATTTGGAAAGCAGCACCGTCCACCAAAAGCGACATGCCAAGTTAAAGGAGATTTATGGGGAGAGTGAAATGCACTCATGCGCATAGTTAGAGCCAAGGTGTGGCACTGAAACTATCACATGCTGACTCTATAGCTCTATATTGTCTGGATCTTTCCCGGCCTTGGCACGGCTCTGCGCTGTCAGCATACAGAGGGCAATAGCCAACTATTTGCTGAGTTTTGGGTCACAGGAGGACATTAGTAAATGCCCTCCTGTGACTCAAAAGTCAACTAATGTCAAAAAAAGGTTTGGCCATAGTTCTCTTTTACATTTGCCACAGCGCAAAGTATCACGGCAATGCATTCGGACCTGAGCAGTTGCCATATTTATTTGTAGGTAGGCGATCAGGGGAATAAAATGTGAATGAACCGCCTTTTTATACCGCCCCTTTGCCGCCTAAGCAAACTTAGACCAATTGTCATGGAGGTCATTGCCTCTGGATGGAAAGTGATGGGAATCCAACAATGTGCAGCTGTCCTTGGAACAAGAATTAAGCAGAAATCTAATGGGGACCCTTGTTCCAGTGACAACCGTGTAAGAGGGGATTGCCCCACACTTTGTAGAGATTTCCTATTACTTCCTGTGTCCCTGGGACAGGAAGTAAAGGAAAAGCCCTTCAGAGGGATGCTGGGGATTTAATCACTCCACAGGGTATAATTATAAAGCAGAGAATCTGACACTCCGCAAACATTCTCTGCAGGTGAATCTTGCAGGGCCTGGTGTTTTAAAGGACAGTGACTGATACTCCACCAGAGAATGTTGGGGAAAAGTCACATTCACTGCTTTAGTGATAGAACTTAGGCTGACATCAGACAGGTGATTCTGCTGCTATAGTCAAAGCGCCAGCATCAGGATATCCTTTCTGTCCCTATGGAATTGCGCCCCATGTACCGAGGCCCCGAGATGTCGCTCTGTCGCTGGCCTGGACACTACTGAATCTCTATTGTGCAGGAGTTACTTATATTCATAGAACAGAGAGCACTTAGTGCCGTCACACCGATACAATTAGATGCCTGGCGGGTGAAGAGGACTAGTCCAGTCTGTATAACTATCATCAGCTCATCAGTAAAGGTCTATCGGGCTGCTTTATGATACAAATACAGGTCTACAACCCACATGTCATCCTTAAATTCAACACACGCGTTGCAATGTGATTGTACAATCTCCTATGTATAGATCAGGTATGTCCTTATATGACATTTTGGTATATCCAGAGTTGATTGTACAGAGATTGTAATTTGTATAGTAACCCTCAACTCAAGCCAAAACTTATTTCAGGTTTAGGACAGAGAACCTCTGTTGGAGGGACTGTCGGGTCCCTATTGGGGTGCTCAGTCCTCATCCATCCTCAGGATTTGTCCTAATGACGATTGTCACAAACAGTGATGTAAAATGTTATAGTCATCACCAGAACTAGTGGCAACCGTTAAGACAGGAGGTGAGTGGAAATTCTGTAATGCCTGGTACCGGAATTGAGGGTAAATTTCCCCAATACAGACACAGACAGGTATAACCATTCCACACTCATTGGATTCATTGATGGAGATTAACGGCGCCCTTCGGGCTCAGGTTTATATTCCTTTCAGCACTCATTACGCAACGGTCTTCTTCAATGATGGAAGCAGCAATCATATTGTGCAAAGTGGCAGCCAATCACATTCCAGCTTACTGTTTGGCTAGTGAAGATGAATTCCGATTGGTTTCTATGGGCACTGCAGTTCTTAAGCTAGCCATACATGGCTCCAACTTTGGCTGATTCCTGCTAAGCAGACAAAAGAAGTTTACTATAGGTGGGCCTGTCAGTACCACCAGGGTCCACAAAAAGGTGGAAAATGATTAGGTGAACAGTGACTGCATCCTATGCAATGGAGTCAGTGTTCGGGCATTCAGCACACACAGATGCTGTGGCTGTCTGAATACATTAGACGGCTGGGGAGATTCCGGTTTAGCGTGTATGGAGGAATCTAGTGATCATTTTGCAGAATGAATGGGAGAGATTTGGCTGTGTATGGCTAGCATTAGTCCTTGTTGAGCATGGATGGGGGGCTATGATGGATAACTACAATCTGCATTGGTCTGATCTAATGAATGAAGATGGAGTGTGTACTACAGATCAGCATTGTAATATTGAGCTCAGGTTACACAGCAGCCCTGTGCTATCTATTCACCTCCAGCACCCCTGTAATGTACACATTGCTGTCAGTAACCCCGCATTGTACACATGGAAATGGAATCTGAAGATTATCCTCCCAGGCAGGAGCTTGTCTCATACACACCAAGGTGCACATGCTACTGATGGGATCACTGGAGCAGGGTGGTGATCCCCACACTGAATGATCTCATCCAGGGAAGATCTTCCTACTGTAAGTCTGCCAGCACAAGGATGAGCAGTCTGTGGTGCCCGAGCTCCCCCTTCCCTCCTCAGCATCATGGCGTCCCAGCAACGAAGGATCCCTATCATCCATCAAAGCAGGGAGGCGCTGAGCGTCTCCATCTAGGCCTCCCGGGTCACCCCCTCCACCCTAATTCATCACCCCGAACAGCCACACTTACCATCCTCTCCGCGACTCTCCAGGTTACCAGGGGCAACTACGTCACCCAAGCCGCTAACGCATGACGTAGACAGCCGTACCGCCCTGCGTGCTGTAACACGCCCATTCTCCGCCCCTTCTGCCCCAACTGCCCATAGTTGACATGACAAACACACTGCGCATGCGTAACCAGCCGCTGATTTTCAAACTGGCAGAGCAAATGTGGGCAGAGCCCTGATTATGCTTCTGATTGGTTAGTGTTGATGATGCTGGCTGTTGATTGGCTGGCTGGACTGTAGTCGCTAGCGTGGACGGAAGGAGTGAGTGAATGAGTTCCAACTCATGGTGGTGCAGGGGCTGAGCAGCAGGTACAGTATGCAATCTGTCATCTCCAACACACACACACACACACACTATATGACCATCATTAACCTTCCCCAGCTCTGCAGTCATTGGAAACATCAGTGAGGTTGGCTGAGGACAGTGTACACCACGACTGCAGCTGGGAGCGTGATCTAGTTGTTACACTCTATGCTGTCACTTTAATAAGAAATATTTCTGAAACTTTCCTTGCATGGGGCTTTCTATACTGCATTCCATTTACATATGACAGCAGATCGTTCTAGAGGTCAGATCCACATCTCTTAGGGTGACCATACACACACTGCAATCTAATTGTACAATCTCCCCTGATTTTACCAAAACGATGTAAAATGAGGACAAACCTCAAACGATACATTCAATTATTTGTATCCAGTCATGCATTCCCTTCCATTACATAATTATCGGTAGAGCTAAAGCTGGCCATACACCTTACAATTATCTGCAGATTTTCTGTGGTCAGATGGAAAAGGTGCAACAGATTCCTCCATCTACACTTAACTGTGTGGATGGAGTAATCTCCACCTTGGCCAATCTGTTGCACTTTTTCCATCTGACCACAGAAAATCTGCAGATAATTGTAAGGTGTATGGGCACCGTAACAGTGATTGTACAATCAGATTGTATACTGCATGGCCTGCATTAGTCTTATATTTCCATCTGTCTAACTTTATAGACTGACCATCAGCAACTCCACATTCTTCTTTTTTTCTACATAATTCAGGTTTTTTCTACATAATTCAGGTTTTATTTGTCAATGTTGTTTGAATCGTTATTAGACGGGGGCAAGTTAAAGGAGGACGGGTCTGATAACCCATTGGTGGCATAAAGTGAGAAATCTCAATAGGGAAAAATTGTCACAAGAAAGTTGCAAATTGTATCCATTTTTTCTATTACGTTGCAGTGACCATTGTTTATAAGGAGTCCTGCGCCACTTCCTGCACGGCGTACCATTGCGCTAATTTCATGCGTCCACAACATGCAATCTTTTCCGTTATATGTCGCACAAATTGTGGCATTTGTCTGAAATGCTGCAAAAAGGGTATTTCCTGCTCCTGATAGACATGACACAATCATTGTTTATTTGTCACACTAGTCTAATATCGCACTGCTGGTCATTTATTGGGTCCAAAGTGTTTTGAATGTTCTAATGCAGGGGTAGGCAACATGGGCACTCCAGCTGTAGTGAAACTACAAATCTCTGCCTCTGGGAGTCACGCCTGCGGCTATCAAAGGCTTACAATGCCTCATGGACTTGTAGTTCCACAACAGCCGGAGTGCTGAGGTTTCCTATCCCTGGTATAAAGTACTCTAGTCCAGTATGAGTGATCTCTTGTCTTTAAATACAACAGATCAGACTTAAAGGAGAACTATGGGGTTAGGGTTTTTCCCCATAGTTCTCCTTAAGGTAACGGGAGGACACAAACTAGCGTCCTCCCGTCACCCTAAGCTCAGTATACTGCGAGCTACAGCTCATTATATACTGAGACGCCGCAGCTGAAGCGGATCCTGACAATTATGTCTGGATCCTCCCAGCTGTGTGAGTGACAGCTGGCTCTGCCTATCTAGTCAGAGCCAGCTGTACCCGCCCCCTCCCCCGTCCGTTCCGCCAGTCAGTGCTAGAGGATCAGAGCGGGGAGGGGGGAATCCAGCCCCTCCCCTGTCACGGCAGAGAAAAGTGACAGGATCGGGAAGTGAGCGAATGCCGGTAGGTGTTCACTCCCCGATCTACTGAGCCGACCTGTGACAGTCTCATTGTCACAGGTCGGCTAGAACTATGAGGTGAGTGAAAAGCACTCATGTCATACTTCTCCTTTAAGCTGCCCATACACCTTGCGATCATCGGACAAAACTTTACGTCTGATGATCGAATCGTCATACAATTTTCGTACGGCGGCCGCATCCTGCCCAAATTATTGCAAGGTTCAATCAGCAGTAATTAACAGAAAATCACCTGGACGAATTGCGGTAATCGACCACACGTATTTTCGTCTGCGCATAAGCAGTGCAAATGGTACGAATTTTGACGTACTGAAACGCCACCAACCTTGCGAAAATCGTACAATTGACCGGAGTTTTCTAACCTGCTGGTTAGTCAAAAGTCGATCGATTGTACAGTATTTGAGGCTGTACACTGCCCATCAACCTTACGAATATCCGAGGAAATCGCATACGAAAATCGGCCGATAACCGTAAGGTGTATGGGCAGCTTTATAAAATGTTTGGAATTATTTTCACATGTGCATTTGCAGCATTTTGTTATGCAGAGTAGGATCCAAATAACGACAAATGCTGCAATCTAATGCTGACTTCATTATTATTACAATTATTTTTATTTTGTATTTTTCTTTTTGGTACAATGTTTGGAATTATATGTCTTATCTGTTTATTGGGCAGCACATAGTGTTGTTTTTTTCCGGCAACAAACTAAAAATATTTTACTAAACCTGAAGCAGACAGAATCTGGAGCAGTGGCCCATGGTAACCAATCAGCTTCTATCTTTCATCTTTAAAGCTTAAAGTGACATTAAACCCTCAGATTTCTTAACAACAAACTGAAGAGAGAAGCTGATTGATTAGTATTTTGTGGCTGCTTTAGTTTTCATACATTCCCCCTTGGTGTGTAGGAGATCAGTGTTGGCCATAATATAAAACAACAAGAAACATACTATGATCTCTTTTTTTATCAGCTGCTTTTATGAGCCTTGTAAATGCCAATTTGCAGCAAACGTCACCCTCTTATGTAATACGGGTTGATTCAGTTTGAAGGTAGAGATATCAGCATTATAGATATTACTAGGCAGTATCACAGGGTGAACCTCTGTCAAAACCTTTTAACATTCTGGATTTGGTAAGTAAGTGAACTGTTGTTGCATTGTAATTGTTGTGTGTGTCTCCGTTGGGGGGATTTCCCCTTCTTTCCTGTCCTGGTAAAAAAAAACCAGCGGAAGATCTAATCTTTTACTGTTTTTGTTGCTGTGTGTTTCCACATTAAAGAGCTTTTCTTCACTTCCTGTATTGGTGGCCACACAGGAAGTGAGGAGAAATCTCCCTGTGGGGACTATAGAGAGCAGTACAAAGCTCAGGTGATGCAGTGTTTACATTAGAAATGTCAATATTGATTTCAGTTCCGTTAAAGTGTGTCTAAAGCCAAAACCTTTTTCTGAGCTTCCGATTTGAGTGGTGAAGGGTTTTTATTGCTGTCTCTGTCCCCTCTGGGGAAATCCCCTCTGTCTAAGACAGGGGTGGGCAAACTCCGGCCCCACAGCGGTTGTGCAACTACAAATCCCATGAGGCATTGCGAGATTCTCACAGTCACAGGCATGACTCCCAGAGACAGATGCATCATGGGATTTGTAGTTTAACCGCAGCTGGAGGGCCGGAGTTTGCCCACCCCTGCTCTAAGGCCTTGTTTACACAGAGCATGCCTGCGGCAGTAATGCCAGGTGTCCCATTTAAGCCCCGTTCACATTGAGTGATTTATCGCGCTCCAATGCATTTCAATGGGGCAAAGGGTCCTGCTGTCGCGGGTCGTGTGTCGCTACAGCAGGACCCTTTTTGGAGCGGATTTAGCCACGATTCAAGCTTGCTCAATGCAAGCTTGAACGCGATATCGCGCGGCAAATCTCGCGATGTCACGCAATATGCAAATCGCGCGACAAACGCGCGATTTGCATATCGCGCAGTGGGAACGGGGCCTTAGATGTGGCCACTGTGCCCATTCAAGTTAATGACCGGGTGACAGTGGCCGCATCTGTAAGCGGCAGTCCACATTCAAACATATATGGTACAATAACATGCGGTTTGGAATAGATCACTGTCCCTGAATGCAGGATAGATGCGTTCACGCACAGTGATCTATTCCAAACTGCATGTAATCTTACCACATATGATTGCATGCGGACTGCTGCTTACAGATGTAAGTGACGGGAAAGCCAAACCTTTGATTTGTCCCCAGAACAAGAATAGGGAACCAGTTATGTGCGGCCGAGGCTTGTTGGGTGCTAGGAAAGGAGCTGTCTCTGGGCCTCCGGCGTCTTAGCAACCCCTGACGTTATTCAGCCGGGTGTCATTGGTTGCTAGGATTCCAGCTTTCTTGGGTCCACCAGAGTCCTGGCAACCGACAACATGGGGACAAACTCCTCACTCCCGGCACAAATTGCTCCAAAACAACATTAGTCTGATTTACCAGCAATTTCCTCATCTCCGAAACAGCAGTATTTCTTTATGAATTTGTCATAGTCATGGTGAGATAATGTAAAAGTGTCGCTAATAAGGACTGCCTGGATTTGCTGTACGTGTCTGTGATAGCATTAAAATTATCACACTGCTTTTCGGAATTTGGTGCTGGACATTCTCTGATTGCATTAACAGCAGACAAGTGTTGCAAATGTTATATTGAATTGCCCCCACTGTGAAAGGTGATCTCCCCATTGGGTGACACAACAATATCCTGACACGGGGTTTAACTATTGTTTAGTCAATCCAAAATGGATAAAAGACGTTTGACCTTACGATAGGGAATCTTAGCATGAAATCATTCAGACCTATTAGTATATTAATATGCTTGATTTCAGAAGAAGCAGGCAAATGAACTTGCTTTTCCGGCTCCTAAAGTCATGTCAGAGTTAAATGTGCTTCTGTGACAAATGTGTGTGAATTTTTGTGAAATGTACAGATGGGGACTGGAGGGAGCAATTTAGGTCATGAGTTGACATGCCTCCTATCTGCTTGTGATGCATTTCTGTGGGTAATCATTGCACAATGGTCACTGTGCACTCTCACTATTATCTTCTAAAGCATTATAAAGAGTAGGGACGAGTAGCGTAGGGACGAGTAGCGTCGGGAAGGCTAGCGTCGGGAAGGCTAGCGTCGGGAAGGGTAGCATCGGGAAGGGTAGCGTAGGGAAGGGTAGCGTAGGGAAGGGTAGAGTAGCGTAGGGTAAAATAGAGTAGCGTAGGGTAGAAAAGAGTAGCATATTCTTATT